GAACAACATTTTTTTTTAAATTTAAGGATCAGTTTTTGTGTATCTCTGTTTTCTTTTCAGCAGCTAAGGAATAACCTTCTATTACATTTTTCTCTGGCAGGAAATAAGCAACCACACAATCCAGTCCCTTATGTGATTTCTAATTCTTCTTTTCTAAAGAGCTACTGCCAAAGCAAGGTCCGCTTCCTATTTTTCTCAATGAGACGGTGTTACGCTTTACAACCAAAAGGGTCGGCATGTTCTCAAACGGTAATGAACAAGCAGGAGAAGGAGGCGGCAAGCGGTCTTTTCAAAAGGGACAATTCTTGATAGGTGCCCTTGATTTTCCACACATATAATTTTCTGCTGGCAGGTGAACCTTTTTAAATAATAATAAAAAAAAACCCCACAGAAAAAGACCACTAAGCTTTAATTTCCTGTAGTTAAACCTGTAACACGCTCTCTGCCCATGAGGGGGAACTTGTGGAGCCAGAGAAGGTACCCACAGTGCCAAAAATCCCCCCCTGCTTTTTTTTTCTCTAACAAATAATTCTTGTTCCCCCCTCCAAACACACACGGGGGCCGAACAAAAATCAACACTTTTCTTTCAGCGGGGCTAGAGAGTTTCATTGCTGTTCAGTTTGTACCCTTTGTCCAGCTGTGTTTCTGTCACATTTGTGCGTCACTGCACAAATAGTTACTTCTAAAATAAATGCCCTTTGCATCTGTCTTGTTTTCGTTACATGTTCAATAGCTCTGAAAGTGAAAGCTGTCTGGCAGTCAGCCTGCTCATTTTTTAGTGTTTATGTGAAATCTCTCACCGTGGCATTCAATACCACTGCAAAAGTTGTATTAAACTATATTTTTGATAACATCTGCATGTGTGCACATGTCTAGTGTGTACTGAGTGATGCGGCAGCTTGGCTATAACATCCCAGAGAGGAGGATGAAGCTCTGCCTTTGACCCCAGCCCTTGCTGGGAGAAGTAGCTGGCCCTGGTTTGCCTGGGAAGGAACCAGGCAGATCTACAGCCAGCACCAGCTTCCCCTGCTGCAATATTTATTCCCTGGATGAGTGCATCAGGAAAGGGGGCGAACCATAATTTAGCTTTAAATCTGCTGCAGGCATCACATTTCAGAGACGGTGCTTCAATGAACTGCAAGGTTTTAAAAGAAGTTGGCATCAAAACCAGAAACAAGGAGGACGTCGACATGTTTTACTACTGGGTTTAACAAATACTTCCTCCCTATCCGAAGCTGTTGATCCACCGTTTCCCTCTACTACAAAACACAGCCCTGTGGCCTTCACAGTTTGCTTACAGCACAAATAAATAACCTGTTGGAAAAGAATATTTTTGTTTCTTTAAAGAGCTAAACTGGGCTCTAAGTGGTACCAACGAAGCAGACAGCCGCTATAGAGGAAACAGCTAAAATCCACCACGACTGTTCCTGCCGGTATTTAACAATGAGCATATCTTGACAGAAAATAAAGTGAAACAGTTGTTAATAATAGAAACCTGGGAAACTTATTCAATAGGATGTTACTTATTTGCAAAACCTAGGTTTGTTTTAATTAGAAATAACACTATTTCCTACTCATCCTTCCCCCCCCCCCCCCCAAACTACCCGCCCCCCCCTCCCACAACAATTACTCTACAAAGTTTGTTGTCCTGCAGCCAGCTCCCTGACTTCCCTCCCGCGCTGCGTGAGGTCCTGATGGGGCCGAAGACTCTGCGCGGGGCGGGGCACTGAGTTGCAGTTTGTCCCTGTTGCTAGCAAGATGGGAAAAGAAATCACAGCCTGCTTGCTAGCTCTGTGCAAAAGAGTTTTCCAGTGCAATGATGCCCTGAGGAAAAAAGAAAGGGTAGAAACTGGTGTTCGGTGCTGCCCACGCATCTCATGAGTCACAGATGGGCAGGAACCGGCGGACAGATCCAGCAGAGTCCAGAGTGCTCTGCCCTTGGACGGGGCACGTGTCGAGTCTGCGCAGCGTGGTGCCGCTGGCGGGGACCTGCTCAGTCCCAGCCCTGCTCCTGTGTTCCCAGGCTGGACTTCAGGAGTCCCTTCGGTGCTTCTTCTGTTCGTGGTACTCTGTTATTTTCTGCTGGAAATATGCTGTGGATGAGAAAAGGTCGTTAGTGAAATGCAAGCGTTTGGGCTGGGGAGGATACAGGGCTGCACGGCCCCAGTCCTGGGGAGTGGTATGCACCCTGGGGGCCAAACCGCGCTGGGTTATGGACAGCTGCACCCAGGTGAAATCGGGGTTGTTGCAATTCCACCCATCCCTCTCACCTACCCAAAATGGGCTTTATTATGCTGGGTTAGCGTAAGATTTTAACCCACGCGTTCACTCCTGTTCAGTTTTTGTGTTTCCTCTCCAACCAGCAAGGAAGAGAGAAAGCGGGAGACCCTGGGAACGTGAATAGCCAAAAAGGTGACGTAGACTGGGAATATAATGAGAGAGCTGGGATTGTGCCGTCCCTCTCTCCCAACCCCAGGCAGACCCAGGTCCGTGTCTGCCCTATACAGTCTGACCTAAAAGGGCAGAGAAAGCAGCAACCGAGGTACAGTGCCGGGCCCCCAGCCCCCCGGGGCAGGCTGCAGACGGGCTGGAGAGGGCCCCGCCACGGGCACCATCTGCCGCTCACTGCCACGTGGCACCGTCCAAGGGAATGTTTGCTTTGCTCGACGCAGCGGTCGCTGATAGAGCGCAACGACTGCACCCTCTTGCACTCTGCGTGCAGCGAGACCTCGGGGGTGGCAAGTCCCGGGTCAGGATGTCTCTGGCTACCGGAGATGTTTTGCCCCGTGCGCTGTAAATCCCCTGGAAGGGGAAAGGACCAACCCAGCCGCCACGGGTCCGCGCTGGAGCTGGTGGCAGAGATGAGTCAGTGCTCGCAGGCAGCGCAGCCAGGAGCCAGCCTCCAGCTGCTGCCTGCGTCCAAGCCAAATATTTGCGCTGCTACTGGCATATTTGCCTAAACGCTGAGCTCTCCGTAAGCCTGCCCGCTCCCCAGGCAAGCAACAAGATCTAAAATCAGCCCAGGGATTTTTTTTGATTGCTTGACAGGGACAGAGAAATGCAGCTGTTGAGAGCAAACGGGTGCTACTTGCTGCCCTGAGCATCCCCAGCCTCGAGCTGCATCCCTCTCCGGGCATGGG